TCTGCCTCAAACATTTGGACAATCTGGACGGATCAGTGCTGATTACTTCATTATGACTCCATTAGAAAATATACACTGTGTGGAACCGTCGCGAAAAAACGTCGTTCAGTTTCAGTCAGTTGTCTGGTTGTCTCTCAATAGCGCAGAGGACAGAAAGAACATCAGTCCACACAGTGTAGATTCGCTCCATTGCGATTGGTTGACAAAAAATCAGTATAGCCATAGTACCTGTGTGGTGGTAGCTACAGCTCCTGCATCGTACATGCGCCCCAGAGCTGCAGCCTGCAATGAAGCAACGGCAGCTGGCTGATAAGCTGCTTGGTTCATGCCATGGACAGCCGCTTGCGGATTGTAAATGTACTGGTGGAGGGGCGCGGGGGCCAACAGGGGCTGTCCGGTCACAGCAGCTGCGTGCGGCATGTGCGACACCTCAGCCCGCATATTCACTAAAAAAAAACAACACGTGTTAACTGCAAAATGTCCCACATCCCCATCCCCACTTACTCTTCCTCATTCGGTTCGCTTGAGGCGGGGGCGCCTGATATTGAGGCTGACTGATAGTCATGTAAGGCATGGGCAGCACAGCCACCGGCATTGAGGGCCCGCCAGGCCCATTAACTGCTGCCGTCATATACGGATTATGTGACGGTGTTTGCGGCGTGTGAGGCCGACTAACCGACGGCGTGCTTGGGGACCTAAAGAAATGTCGCTTCCGATCAAAATTCTTTCGCCTATTTGCATTCATTCGCCTATTTGTACTCATTCGCCTATCTGTATTGATTGGCCTATCTGTATTGATTGGTCTATCTGTATTGATTCGCCTATCTGTATTGATTTGTGTTCTGAAACAACTAATTGGGCAGAGTTGATCAATTGACTAGAAGTCCGAATGGTTGTTCAAGTTCTACAAGGAATGGGGCGGGGCTACTTGCATGCACCAGTCACAATGTGTTTAGACTGGGTGGTCCTCCACCAATGGGACAATGTTTGGGCAAATTTGCCTTGAGCCAACGTTAATCGATTACGAGCTACCCGGTGTTAAAGTGTACATCACATTTCGGAGCAATTATCTTGTGATCAACGCAAAAAAATTAAAAAAGTCTTTTTAACCGGTAAGTGAACCGTCGGTTTAAGGAGCAACAGTTTCCCTAAGTGCGAACACTTGCCAACAGTGGAAAATGACTAAAAAACATTTAATATTCGACTGTGAAGGCTTTCACGGCTTTGAAGCCGTGGTCTATGGGAATTTCTTCCTGACGTTTCGTCCACAACTGCGCTGGACATTATCAAAGGCGATGAGGCAGTGGGCGAAGTG